TAATGTCCTCTTCTTTCCTTTAAAATGTTATTTAACATAATACTTTTTTCTCAGTGAAATTTGGAGAAAAATATTTAGGCAATTCAAATGTCTTGCATAAAATGGTATTTTAATCTTTTTGGCACGTTTACCTCCCCTTCAGACGGTTGTTGAGCGTGAAGCAGACATAAAACATCTGAAGGAGCAGCTAACTGAAGCCAAACAAGCTAATGAAGCAAGCCGAACCGCACAGGCCAGCCAAAACCAGAGTTCCCAGTCTGTCCACTCAAGTGATGCTAACGCAGCTGCTGAGGCAAACCAGGCACAACAAGAGGAGCTTGCAAAACTCAGACAGGAGGTATCTGAGAATCCTACATACTCCAAACTACATTCTAGTCAAACTGTCGTTCGATTTCCCTCCATAATCGTTTAATGCAAGCACAGTCTCTTATGTTGAATTTTACGCACTAAATTAAAATTAGATGTTGTGAAAGATTTTGAAGAGAATGTTTTCTCTAGCTATCCGAGAGCAAAATCAGAGAGGAGCAGCTCAAACAGCAGATGGCCGACAAAGAGGAAAAAACGAAGAAGGCCTTCCTGGGAGCCAAGACCAAAATCAACCAGCTAAACAGTGAGCTCAGAAAAACCCACTATAATGTGAAAATCTGCTGACAAATATCTCCAAACAAACAAGCAAATATGCTTAGCGTGACTAAAATTTGTGACTTGCTTCCTTTACCTTCAGGTGCTAAAGAGCAGCTCAGTCAGGAGGTAGAAGAACTGAAGCAGAGTAAAGAGGAGCTGGAGGTGAGAATGAATGCCCTCAAATCTCAGTATGAAGGACGACTTCTTCGGCTGGACAGAGAGCTTAGGGAACGGAGAGAGACACAAACGCACTCTGACACCAGAGAAGAAACACAGGACCAGAGTGGAGCTAAGGTACATGGACTTGAAGGAACACATTACATAGAGCATGTTTTGAAAAAACTCACCCTTTTCTTGTTATAATTGTCTATAGGTATGCTAAAACTCAGATTTGTTATTTTAATGTGCATGTATGTTTGTATGTCGCAAAATTAAGAAGAAAGCCAAAGTGGTATAAGAAAACCTTCTTTACAAGCTAAGATGAAAATATTACAGAAGCAAAGTGTGACTGACTGTGCTAGAAATAGAGCTTTTATTATGGATAACATAACCCATCATTTTGCGTTATTACAATAGTATTTCTATGAATATTTAAATATTTTATTTTTCAAAATGTTCCAAAATTCAAATGTGAAACCTTGTTTGTCTTAAAATTGAGGTTTTAACAATACAGATATTTTACAAATGGTTATATTTTTAAAATTACAAATTATATGCTTTAAGTATTTGCAAATTTCTCAAAATATCTTTTTAAAAAATACTCTGGAAACAATATTTTACAACTTTGAGAAAGTGGGTTTTTTGGTTTTGTTTTTTGTTTTTTGGAGGAATTGAATAATTTTTTGTCTAAATTGCAACAGTAAAAAAATGTATTTTTTCCTGTAATTAGTTTGCTTTGGCTTTGCTAAATTTATTTCCATCATGTGATTGTGGTAATGATCAAGAACACACCTGTTTGTCCTTAGATGGGTGATCAGACGAGGTCTGCAGACCAGAGACAGATATCGTTGAAGAGTCCTGCACAAGACAGAGGAAGGTAAACTATAAATTGCTCTGAATGATTGTAAACGTTTCATAC